TTCTTTCCAAAACAGAATAAAGAATGAAACATTTCTGTTTGCATGTGTGATTCCACCATGGCACTCGATGAAGATCGCGTAACTCGTGTAAATGTAAATGCAGGTATGCGTTAGCTTGTATTAATCCTAACGTGAACACCAACCGTATAATTCATCTGAAAATTCAATAGAGAGAAAAAGCGCTAATGCCTGCTGAGGTTGAACATAACTTGCTTTTTTTTGTAGGTGAGGTTGGGGGTACTACCATTGGTCAGGCCCTTCATAACTCTGGCAGCACTGTCTTTCGTCATGTCGTCAGTCATATACAGGGTGGGCCAAAAAACCGCCCCAAATTTGAAGTTTAATTAAGTGGGCCCTGTTGGGACAATATCGATTGTTAAAAAAAGCAAAATGAAGCTTCTTCAATTTTCTTTCGAACGATATAAATTTTGGGAGGGTTGCTTCAGAGAAATGGCCGCTATTACAGTTTAAAAAAAAGTGAGGAGGCAATTTACTGAAAACAGCTTTCCTGAGTTCTTTCCAATGTCGCGCTGCTGCTGTCGCCTGTTTCTCCCGCGCACGCCCTTCTCCCACGCACCCCTGCATAATACGGATTGGTTGATGAGAGATCATAGAAGATGCTCCGTTGAAATGCTTTCAAGTAGAGCGAGAACTGGCAGCCGAGGAAAGAATTCCAGACGTACTTAAGTCATCAAAAGAGGTTCTCTTTCAGAACTTCAAATTCTGCTCGCACATGTTGCATGGGCTGACCTTAATCCAGTATAGACACCTACCGTATAGTTCTGCATGCTCCCGTATGCTCCATATGCTTCATAGGAATAACAATGCTTAAGTTGTGAACTGACGAAAAAGTGACCCACCCTCACCTACACAAGCATTAGCTTCTGAATAAATGTATGCGTAAGGAAATTACTATTCTGGATCTTGACCATTTCCGTTATTGATTGTCGGCCTCATATGCTTCTGTGACGAGCATATAGTCGTCTCACATCCATATTATGCCACTCTAAGTATATCGATATTCACAATATTGCCCCATTGCTTCCATATTACTGGAACAGTCACTCTTTTGATTCGGATTGTTCAATATCCCTTAATTGCGGCCTCAAAATGTCACCCCAATAAACGAAAGTCTAAAATCCTGTTTGTGATAAAACATTTGTGTGCGTCGTGAGAAAGTAGGCCCATCAACTTCTATAGTCATGGTGATCAAGTTGAAAGGTCAGAATCACGAGTCCTTCTTGGTGTTGACCTTTGGTTTCCTGAGATAGGAGTCTCGGAAGAAGGCTACGAAGAGAGCCAAATAAGAGAAGTACATGAGGACTGACAAGAGAGCATTATAGGGAGTGACATGGCACGAGATGCCAAGGAGCTTGAAGAATGCTGCCGAGAGGCTGAGTGCCAAACCCATTACCATCTGGAGGATCTGTAAGACAGTGATGAACATGGCCACCCCTCTCCCCACATTAATTCCGAGGGTCCTTGCTGCGAAATACGAGTACATGGTGGAATGCACCACCAGATTCATGGAACAGAACCAAAGTCCTGTCGATGCGTGCTCGGATTGAGATTGCCAGCAGAAGATGAGAACCGTGATGTGATGATACCAATGCAGGAACCTCAAGGGCTGCTTCTTGAGAAGGAGGAATACCGTATCGCCCAATTCTGGCACTTTGGAGAGGGCGAAGAGGAAATGCCAGTAGCTCGTTTCACGATTTTCGTCATAGAACCTGCAAAGATGCAAGCGTTGCGGATGAAATTTATTTTCAAGGTTGTATCCAATATGGGAAAGAGCTAATGTCACTTCTAGGAACCGTTTCCAGGGTTTAATGTGGATGATGGAAGTGTTGATACCGTGGCGGCCATTCATTTAATGTAGGAACTTCATGAATCTCTACCTTTTATGTTCCATAGATGAGTCCGCAACTCTCTGAGAATGAGTTTACGTATGAATCGAAATACATGGTAGTCGCGCAATTAAATGGCTTTCAGCATCTAACCCTTTTGAAAATTTGATTTTTCAGTTGCTAAGTTCAGCTACTGTACTGTCCGACGTTGCTTCGGAGCTCTGTTGCTGGGGCATTAATCGCGAGGCCAGGAGTGGCGTGACTTCAATTATGTAGAATGACCAGATTCAGTGAAATATTCCAGGATTTTCTTGCGTTCGCCTTTTCTTTCTAATTCAGATTATCCTTACAAAGCCTTCCAGTTAATATTATTTTCTTTAAATTCATTCATCTCAATGCCCTTCTTTTCGTGCGACTTCAACAAAGCCACTGTGTAACAAAGTTTTCTGTCACCTGCTCTAAAGAAACAAGTATTGCGTACCAAACAATTCCATCTGCCTGTAACTGCAGTGTTCGTTAGTGCGCGGGGTCGGATCATGAATAGCTGCTTCTTCATTCTCCGTGAATCACTTCACGCTCAAGTTCAAATTTTTAACTCCCACATTCTCCACATATTATATCTGGCCCAAAATTGAAAAAAAAAATTCCCACAATCCAAAACATAAATTCCTCTCTAGTTGTGTGGGGGAAGGCCGAAGACGAACAGACACCAACACTTTCTGGGATGATTTTTATTTTTAACTAGCGAGTTTGTTTGCCCTTCGGGCAAACAAACTTGCTATGGTCACGCCTTCGGCTCTCCATTACCTTGGTTATTGATTAATTCTTTAATTTTTTTTTTCGAAATGGGAAACACGTATTTAAAGTACGTCCCCATTGAAATACGTGACATATGGGTCGAAAGACTTGATTTTTATGAAACTATTTACTTCTATGATTCTATGTGTGCCTAACTTTAAATCCTTTTTGGTGTTCCTTTTGGTAAGGGTGGAGAATACATTTTGAAAACTTCCCTCTAATAATCTACGCTAAGGGGATATATTTCAAAAGTAAAATTTTTCCTGTACTCGGCCATTAAACAGGTACTTCTGAGGGACGTTTAAATTTTCTGTCCGTCCGTTGGGTCTGTTGGTTGTTCGTTGGATCAAGAAAAAAATCAGGAAAATGGGACTTAAAAAAAGGGCCCTAATGGGTTTTAACGATATTTTTATTATTCTGAAATGTAGACTCATGGAACTCCATGCCACCCAGATTCAGCCTTATACGTTTCCCCTTTTTGCTAGCGGAAAAACAAAGTATTTGGAAAAGTGACCCAACCAAAAGCTGTGCTCTGAGGAGACGTATAAAAAAAGTTTAATTTTTCCTAAAATCAACATCACCTCAGTGATGTGTGCGCCAGCTACTCTTCTGTCTGCCCGGTGAACTACATGCCCATTAAGTTTCAATGTTATACGAGGGTCACTCAGTAAGTTATCTACCTGAATAAGAAAGAAACATCCGAGGGGAAAAATAACACTTTATTTTTCAATGTAGTCACCTTTTAACTCAACACACTTATTCCACTTTGATTCCAAGGATTTTATTCCCTGGGAATAGAAGTCAACTTCTTGTCCATCAAACCAATCAGAAACGGCAACTTTCA